AAACCTACTTTTGCCCCACCCTGTACATATAACTTGCATAACAATCATATAGAAAATACACATATAAGAATGCCTAATAGCAGCACTGTTCACAGTTGCAGAAAACTTCAAACCATTCCAAATGTTTATCGACAAGAGAATGGTTAAACTGTAGTATATTCAATAATAAAATAGTATATAGTAGCCCTGGCTGGTGTTGCTCAGTGGATTGAGTGCCTGCCTGCAAACTGAAGGGTTGCCGGTTTGATTCCTGGTCAGGACATAAGCCTGGATTGCAAGCCAGGTCCCCAGCTGGGGGCATGTGAGAGGCAACTGTTTCTCTCTTGCACAGTAAGGTTTCTTTCCTACACAATGATATTTCTCTCGTTCTCTGTCTCCTTCCCTTCCCCTCTCTCTAAAAATAAATAAAATCTAAAAAAAAGTATATAACACTGTCAGATTTCAATACCACTGCTGTATGAAAAAACATGGAAAAATCATAGAAAAAATATTGAATGAGAAAAGCAAGCCCAAGCAGATTGCATACAATTTGATAGCATTTTTTAAAGCTCAAAAACAAGTAATATTAAACAACACGTTGCTTATGTTGTTTAGGCCTGTATATATATATACTAAAGCTATTTTTAAAAAGAATGACGAACACAAAATTCAGTATAGTGCTGATTGCAGTAGGATGGGAGATTCAGGGGAATGGGAGAGGGATAAACATATAGCTAGAAGTAAAATACTGGCTAGTTCTCAGGTTGGATGGTATATTCTCAGTTGTGTATATTTTATTGTGCTTTATAACATACAAAAATATTACATATACTATTTTGTTGGTGTCAAATATTATGTAAAACATTTAAAACCTTTTAGAAGGGGCTATGGAAAAAGAAAGAATCTTACTATGAACCCCCCGCCCCCAGTTCAAAATAGCTGTCCTAACCTTATTTTTCATTTTTCCTGGGAACGCAATCTGAGATAATTAGATCAGTCTCCTTATTGAAGCTTAATCATTTTTTTCTTTACTTTTTTCAATTGATTTTGAGAGAGAGAGAAATATTGATTTGTTGTTCTGCCCATTTATGCATTCATTGGTTGATTCTTGTATGTGTTCTGACCGGAGATTGAACCTGCAACCTTGGCACGTTGGGATGATGCTCTAGCTAACTGAGCTACTCGGCCAGGTGGAAGCTTAATCATTTTTTATGCTTCTGTTATTTCTCTTATCTTAGAGCACCTTCCCATACGTTTATCCAAATCATACCTAATTCCAAGGTTCTGCTCAAGTTCCAGATCTTTCCAAAAGCCTTCCCTTACTACTCCAGCTCTTGTTCATCTTTCTTTCTTCTAATGTTTATCAACTTTTGGGTTCCAAGCAAATCAGCATTTAATTCTATATTGACTTATACAATTTATAACCAGTCAGTGTATGTCAGTTTTCTTCATTGCAAATAACAGAATCTAGTCTCATTACTAGTTTAAACAAAAAATATATTTATTAAAGAATATATATAGCTCCTATGATCTCTAAGCGAGCAGAAAATGAGGGTAGGCAGCGATATAGGCCTGATACCAAAATTGTGCTGTTCTGCTGCTCTTGCGGAAACCCTACTGGTAACCCCATTGGGGAGAAGCGGGCTGCCACTCTCACCGCCGACACCAGGCGCCGAACAAGAACATGACCACCGGTACCTCTAGCCCCACTGCCCCGGAAGCTGGGTTTTGTTATTGGTGGTGGTGGTGGTGGTGGTGGTGGTGGGCGTTTTTGTTGTTTTGTTTTTGTGTTTTTTCCCTCGAATGGATTGCAAACAGTGCCTCCATCTTTACTTCACCCTCTTCTCACCTGAAATCTCATTCAGTTGTGGCAGTGGGGGTACCCAGTATACACCCAGCCATATGGAACCTACGAGGCTGAATTTTCACTTCTATCATAGGGATGAACTCCTAAGATTGTGGGAGTTCTCAAACATAGAAAGGGTATTAAAAAGTTACCTTATCTGACCAATTTGATCTACTACTTAAAACACATAACACTCAATAAATGCCTATTGATTTGCTGCTCTTCATTATCCTCCATTAAAACAGTACCTTTGGGATCATCTAACCCATACCTATTATATTACAAAGAAGAAAACAGAGCAATAAATTGATTTGATCATGGTCAGAATTTTAGTTCTTAGTAGAGCTGATATTATAGTTTGAAGATATATTCTAGGAAAGATTTCAAAAGGCATGATACAATGTACAGTGATGTTATAGTCCTCTTGTGCTAAGAATTGCTTGTGTGCATTATTGAGAAGGTACTAGCTATTCACTTTCTTAATATTTATTTTCGGAAACTCTCCAAGATTATAGGTTTGCAGAATTAATATTAGTTTAATTTTTTCTATATTGTTATTTGTGGCAGTCTGTTATTTGTCCCTCAACATCCTTTTTACTCCTTCTTCCACAGTAATAGAAACACTGACATTTTTACTGGGCCATGACCACCAAGAATAAAGACTATAAACCCAGCTTCTTTTGCAGCTATGTAGGATTATACTCTGGATGTAACCAGAATTGTTGTGTGCAACCTTTGGCAAATGTTCTGTAAGTGTGGGACTGTATCCTCTCCTTCCTCCTTCCTGCTCACTGGAATGCAGTTGGAGCTCTAGGAGCTCTAGGAGCTCTCTTGGACAATGAGGTGATCTTGAGAATGGAATGCTAACATGATAAAGCAGGAAGACAGGAGACTGGATTCCTAACACTATGGAGCAACATGCCAACTGTGGACTTACAAAATACAAACTTTCTATCCTGTTTGTTATTTTAGTTTACTTTTTCTGTTATTTGTAGCTGAACCAGATCCTAAGTCATAATTCCTGGCCTACCCACCTTGACTGCTAATGCTGAGGCAGACCTGACTGGGTGATATGATCTCAACTGCCATGTACAAGGCAGGGGCAAATAGATATCATAACCTTGAGACGGAGTCCTCAAGCACCCAGCAGATCACTTCCACCAGCCAGTTCAGTGCTTACCTAAGTGATAACCCCAAATAATACCAGCCAATCAACAAGATTCATAGACTGCTTTTTAAATGTGGTATAGAGATAGTTTATGGTCTTTTTGTTTTAAAAGATTTACCCCATTTTGTCTTCTTTCAAACCTCATCTCTAGACTGGGTTCCCTACTTGCCAGAATAACTTTTACACACCATACTCAATCTTTGGTTTTTATTAGTTTATTTTTATTAGCACTATTCATTTTTAAAGAATATTAAATTGTTTAAAAGTTTTAATAATATAGTCTCTGGAAAAGCTGCCTTTGATATCCCTGATGAAATTGCTAAGAAAAATATATTTCTAGTATTCCTCACCTAATAAAAAAAAACAATTATTAGTCTTTGACAATAGTATGTCAATGCCTAACAACCATGCCTGCAAACAATTACTAAGATATTCACATTTTCTTAGAAGGGTCAAACATTCTAAAAGTTATATGGATAATAATAGGTAACATTTATTAAGTACTACCATTTAATCCTCCTTATAACCCTACAAAGTAGGTACTGTTATTAATAATAAGGAAACTGAAGCATAGTCAAAAGTCATCAAGTAGTAAATGATGGAACTGAGATTCAAAGCCTCAGAGCTCCTGCTCTAGACTTTTTATTTATTTATTTTTTTGAGTGGGGAAGGGTGGTATATAACTTTTTAATTTCTCAAAGTGCTTTTATATTTCCTTTAATAGACATAAAGTAGAGAATATAGACTATCTGGATAATTAGAAGAATTCCTCATGCCTCAGTTATTCAGACTCTTTTTTTTTTAAAGGATTTTATTTATTTATTTTTAGAGAGGAAGGGAGGGATAGAGGGCAAAAAATATCTATGGGCCACCTCTTGTACACACCCCAAATGGGACCAAATCTGCAATGCAGGCATGTTCCCTGACTGGGAATTGGACCAGTGACCTTTTGCTTTGAAGGATGATGCCCAACTAAATGAGCCACACAGGTCAGGGCTATTCAGACTCTTAAGGCTGACATATTTCCTGTTCAAGTTAATAAATTTAGTTCATTGTTTAATATTAATGTTACCTTGCATGTATAGAAGTAAACCATAAAACTAAAGAAAATGTAGTATATATACATACTTGCACACATAATTTTAGAGAGATAGAGCTTAGTTTATTTTAGATTTTTACACACTTGACTTATTCTTTTATATTTTTAATAAAATATTTCAAGCTATAGAAAAATGTTGCACACCACTCATGCTGTTGGTTTGTCAGATCTTGATGCTAAATTTGCTGCAGATAACTTTTTTGAATAGTTTATACATTTGTATGTTCAAAAAATGTGGAGTTAAGTCCTCATCCCACCTTGTTCCATGTGCCCAGTTCCCACCCCCACAGGTGTTACTATATTTATTTCCCTCCAGTTTTCTGTGTGAGTGCTCATGTGTACATAGAAACAAATATGAATATATCTGGACTCACTTAAAAAAAGATTAAGGGTTACAAATCTTTAACATTCTTATTTGTGTCCACACTCCCAACACTCTTTACTGTCTCTGATTCACCTCAGCTTATTATTCAATGAACAAGTAATAAACTTCCATGTTTAGGAATTGTTAACTCTGAAGAATCAGTGGTTTCTTTAATTGTCTCTATCCTTTCTATTCCATCCACAATTCTGTTTTCTAAAAAACTGATAACTAGTTCCAGAGTCAAAAATGCCTAGAGTGTTACAAAGGTGAACTTTACGCAAATAAAAAGGCTTAACTCCTGTGAGGAATTTAGGAGGAAGGAAGCTGTAGGGAGTGGAACGGTGGGATAGGCGGTACCCGGTGAAAGGACGGAGTCGGAAGTGGGTAGGCGGGACCTGTGGGATGTGGGAGATCCCCCGGAAAGGCGGAGTCGGAGGTGGGTGGGCGGGACCGGAGGGAGGAGGATCTGGCAGCAATAACCCGGCAGTGCGCCGATTTGGCGCCAAACGCCGAAGGCACGTCAGCGGCGCTATCTTTAGTCTCGCGAGAAGTGCGGCTTGCTTTCCCCGCCAAGCACGGCGCTGTGGCTGCTGCTTTCTGCGTGAGGTGAGAGCGGGTTGATGGGAGAGTGAAGTCGCTGAGGGGAGAAAAAGCCGAGGAGTTAAGGCGGAGAAGCCGAGGTGTTAGGAAGTCGCAAGGGGAGAGTGAGAGTGGAGTACAGGACTGGGGTGGACTGAGGGGAACGGGACAGGCCTGATCTGCGACCTATGGGGCGAGGAGACCGGCGGGGCAAGGGCGGGCACATTTACTTTTTGTTTATGTTTCGGATCCGCCTCTCACTAAAACTAGTCTTGGCGGGAGGGAACGTGTAACATATACATCTTCACATAGCCAGCTTCTGTTCATGGGCTTTAAACATAGAGGGCATCCCTTGAAGATTGGTTGGTTGAATGAATGAAATTGAAATGAGAGAAAGACAGGAGAGCGAGGATGAAAGTATTAGAGAACGGATGGGCTGGGGAATTTAGTGTGGGCAGGAATGGTTGGCAAAGAGGGACATCGAGTCAGTCTGGTAGAGCTAACCTTGCTACTTGTGAGGTTATGATCTCCAGCCACCTTTCTTACAATTTTGAAAATGATGGTTCTTGAACCTTACTTGAAGATAACAGTGGGTCATCATCGAGTTGATATTTATTTTGTTTTTATGTATTATGGTTATGATACCATAATATGGAAATTTAGTTATGATACCATAATATGGAAATATGGTTATGATACCATAATATGGAAATTTAGAGTTGGAGAGACTAGAGATCATCAGCTCCAGTAGTTCCATGGTTTTGGGGAAGCTTTGGAAATTCTTTTCTTCATTCCTTCAGTCAACAAATATATATTGAGCATCTACTGTATACCAGCTTTAGTTATGCAATGTTGAAGCACAAAGAGACCTACCTGGTCTTGCCCACCCCCACCCCCCTAATTTAATCCTCACCCCAGATTATGTTCATTGATTTTAGAGAAACAGGAAGGGGAGAGAGAGAGAGAGAGAGAGACATCGATTGGTTGCCTCCCTCCTGAATGGGGATTGAACCCGCCACCTTTTAGTGTGCAGGACGACACTGCAACCCACTGAGCGACCTGGCCAGGGTCTTCATCTTTGTCCTTGGAGCTACGGTCTAGTATGGGAGAGAAACATTAATCAAATAAACAAAGAGAACTTAAATACTGAAACTTGTACTTGATACTTTGAATACTTATTATAGGAGGATTTAGTTTAGGGAAATTGGGGCAGACTTTTCTGTGGAGGTCATAGTAGATATCTGAAAGAGATGAGGAATTGAGGCAGAGCCTTCAAGATAGGAAATGTCCTGCCCTGGCCTGTGTGGTTCAGTTGGTTGAGTGTTGTCCTGCTAACTGAAAGGTGGCGCTTTGGAGTCCGGGTCAGGTCAGGGCCCATGTAAGAGGCAGCTGCTCCGGTTGATGTTTCTCTCTTTCGATTCTTTCCCTCTCTTTCTCCCTCCCTTGCTCTCTTTCTAGAGTCAGTAAAACAAACAAACAAAAAGATAAGAAATGTCCTTTGCAAAAGTCTAGTGGCCTGAGGAAGCTCTTATGGCTCTTTGAAAGAACTCAAAGAAAAGAGCAGGTACAAGTCGTGTGAAGTGAGATTGGAGGACTAGGAGGGTGCCAAACCATGCAGAGCCTTGGAGTTTCATCACTAAATTCTAAGAGCAGAAGGAAACCATTGAAGTATTTAAGCCAAGTGGTAAAGTGATCAGCTTTCCATTTCTAAAGGTTCAACTTTGCTGTAATACAGAGAATGGATTGGAAAAGCCAAAAGTAGGAGTAATGGAGTAATCCAAGTAGCAGTGTTGGGAAGTGGTTGTGGAGACAGGGAGAAATGGATGGATTCAAGGGATATTTAGGAGGTAAAGTGGACAGGGTATGTGGGGTAGAGGGAAGGAAGTGTCAAGGATGACGTGTAGGTTTCTGACTTGCATAGCTGGATAGATGTCATTCAGTGAATTGGGAAAATGAGAAGTTTGGTTTTGAACATGATGTGTTATAGGTGCTTTTGAGAAATTTGAGAGCTGTAGAATGAAAAGTTGGGATATGGAACTCAGATTTGATGCCGAGGATGAACGTAAAAAAAATTAGTAATCTGTGAATGCTTATTGAAACGATGTGCGTAAATGAGTGAAGAGGGCCTAGGATGGAGTCTTGGATACTTACCAGGTTAGAGGAAGATGAATCTTCAAAGAAGATCCAGGAGGAGTGTCCAAAGGGAGGAAGATCAGGTGAATACTACGTTTCAGAAGTCAGTGCAAATAGACTTTTCCGGAAAAAGAAACTAACCAAAAGTGTCAGATGTTGCTGAGAGGTGAGGTAAGATGGTACTGAGAAGCATTCTTTCAATTTTCCGACCTGAGGATTATTTCTCTTTCTTCAAAGGAAACCTTACCTAGAAGATCAATATGTAAACAGATTTCTGTTACAAGCTGCTCTGGTTGAAGTTGCTGGTGTGGTACCTATCCCCTGTATATTTCACAGCTATTTGGACCATTGCTTGGAACTTTCTGAAAATCCAAGTTGTTTTATGATAGAAGAAACTCAACAGTTGAGGTAAAATGATGTGTTCAAAATTATATTGTTATTTCGTGGTACAGTATACATTAGAACTTGTTTCTTCTGGTTTTCAGCCCAGTTCTTTGTTCCATAACTATCCACACTTTTCATCATTTGTGAGTTTGAAATATGGTTTAACTAACTGAAACACATGAATTTTGCTGCAGGTGGATCTTAACCGGATAATAGGAAGACTACTTGGATGAATAAAAGTGTTTACTTTTTTCTCCCCCAGAGAAGAAGATGCTGGAACCACAGGAGAATGGCTTGATTGACCTACCAGATTATGAGCATGTAGAAGATGAAACTTTTCCTCCTTTCCCACCTCCAGCTTCTCCAGAGAGAGAAGGTGGTGAAGGAGCTGAACCTGATGATGGTCTGTATAGAGCTCCAAAAAAGGATCTGTACTCACTTATCCATTTATCAGCTCAGAGATGATACATTTTATAGGTGAGGCTTAAATTATTTAAGTAATATTAAATCTTCCAATATTTCACCAGAGTCAGAAAGAGAAGCACCTATTCCTGTACCTCCAAAGAGAGCAGTTAAAAGGAATATACCCAAGCTGGATGCTCAGAGGTATATTATTTCCTTAAATGTTTGTACTTTACATCTTTTTTTCCTCTCATGTTACAAGCTTTTGGTTGGGAGTATTTGGAGATCAGATATTTATAGAAAATTTGTTTTTTTTCAGTTCCGGTAATTTCTTATGGTCATGGTTTGGCCTTGATGGCTCTAGAAAACTTGGAATTAAGAACATATTTCTGTTCACAGATTAATTTCAGAGAGAGGGCTTCCAGCATTAAGGCATGTGTTTGATAAGGCAAAATTCAAAGGTAAAGGTCATGAGGTAAGAAATGTCTGGTTTTTATTTTAGACCTTTGCTTTTTAAAATACAGCCATCCATCCCTAAGTTGCTCTGGATTATTGGTTCCAGGACCCCTGCAGATGTCCAATCCACAGATGCTCAAGTCCCTTATATAAAATAGAGTAGTATTTCTATATCAGCTACTTTAAATCATCTCTAGATTACTTGTAATACCTAATGCAATGTAAATGTGAAGTAAATAGCTGTTACATTGTTTAAGGAGTAATGACAAGAAAAAAGTCTGTACATGTTCAATATAGATGCAGCAACCATTGTAGGCCTAATTACATAGCACACGTGAGCAACAGTGTAACATTTTTTTCCTGAATATTTTCAATCCACAGTTGGTTGAATCCACAGATGCAGAACCCACTGTATGTAGTGTTGACTAGCTATAAAACTGAGTGTTATCATGTTGTTAGGAATCTTAGAATGTTTCACAGATAAATCATTCATCATCGTCTCTTCTGAGGAATTATAATGTGGAGAGGCACTTTTAGAAAAATCAGAAAACATGTCTTAATAGTCTTGGTTTTGCCACAGTATGGCTTTAGTAAAATCATATTCAAGTCAGTAAACCTGAGTTTGTACTTTATAATTTTGAGGAACAATGTTTACTTTGTCTACTTCAGAGAGTGGTTTTAAGTTTTATGAGAACAAAGACTTTACCTATATTGATCATTTACGTGTCCCCAAGGTGTGGTGCCATGCCTGGTTCGTAATAGGTATGAGTTAAGTTTTGTCAAAAAATGGAGACATTTAAGAACTGTCAATCACTGGACAAACATACATTTAAATTTTTTCTTTATTTTTAAATTGATTTTCGAGAGAAGAAAGGATAGAGAGAGAAATATCGACTTGTTTTTACACTTAAGTTTATGCATTCATTGGTTGTGTCTTGTATGTGCCCTGACCAGAGATTGAACCTGCAATCTTGGCTATTGGGACGATGTTCTAACCAAATGAGCTACCTGGCCAGGGCCATTTAAAATTTTTCTGTGAATCATGCAGATATATTTTTTTGCAGTTTATGAAGTATTTTCAAACATATTCTTAATCTTTTATTTATTGATTTTTCAGAGGGAGCAAGAAAGAGAGAAAGAAACATTGATTTGTTGTTCCACTTATTTATGCATTCCTTCATTGGTTGCTTCTTTTATGTGCCCTGACAAGGGATGGAACCCTCAACTTTGCCATATCTGGATGATGCTCTCACCAACTGAGCTACCTGGGATAAGTGTTGGTCCCATTATCTAATTAAGGAGACTTGAGTTTTAGAGTTGTAAGTGTCCAATGACAACAGTTGGGGCAGAGCCTAGATTTCCCACTTCTTAGCCCAGTTAGAATAATGTTACAAAAGTGAGCACCATCTTGATGTGGTATACAGGATAATTGGAAAGGGAGAAGAGACTGGAGGCAGACAGCAATTGAGAGGCTGCTATACTACCAGTGGAATAAGGTGAAAATAGATTGGATGGGGTAGTAGTAGAGATCAGCATATAGTACTTATAGTTGATTTGACTTAAAGGAGTGGAAAAGGAGTCAAGAACAATCCCCAGATTTCAAACCTGGAACGCTGAAAACTTGTGCATTTGCTCGACTTCAGTGGACAGGAAGAGAATATAAGCCTGTATGTCCTGTTTTGCCATAAAACTAAATATAAATCAGCCATACCCAGCTCTTAATTCATTGCCTTTGTTGAAATTTTTAGGTAGTAATGATGAATTGGTGCTTTGAATTTATGAAGTCTTCATCATTTTCACAGTAAGATTTATACGAAGGATAATTATTTTGCATTTTGCTGGGTGAGAGTGGGCTCTGAAAGGGTTTATCTAGTTTTCTGTACTTTGCCCTTGAAAACTTTCAGTATTTTCTCACAGAGCCTCCCCATTGTATTTAGATGGTTCTCTTGTATTCCTTGGGTCTAAAAAGACCCCAAGAGGTGGCTAGCCAGCTACCCCCAACAACTGGAAAATGAGATTAAGTGATTGAATTTCTAAAAGGACTTTTATCTACCCTGACTGGTGTGACTTGGTTGGGTGGGCATCATCCTGCCAAGCAAAAGGTCACCAGTTTGATTCCTGGTCAGGGCACAGGCCTGGGTTGTGGGTTCAGTCCCTGGTCTGGGTGCATATGAGAGGCAACCAATTGATTCTTCTCTCCCTCTCTCCCTCCCCTCCCCCTCTCTAAAAATAAATGAATAAAATCTTTTTAAAAAGTTCTTTAAAAAATAACTTTTGCTCTGGCTGGTGTGATTCATTGGATTGAATGCTGGCCTATGAACCAAAGCATCGCAGGTTCAATTCCCAGTCAGGGCACATACCTGGGTTGTGGGCCAGGTCCCCAGTAAGGAGTGCATGAGAGGCAACCACACATTGATGTTTCTCTCCCTCTCTTCCCGTTTGTTTAAAATAAATAAATAAAATCTTTAAAGAAAATAACTTTTATCTTATCAGAATGAGAATGATGACATTACACTCTTCAGTAGTGCATATTTAGCTATTGGTAGAGTTGATTGTCTTAACCATTGACTTCTTAGATAAGAGTAAATAACAATAGTAATTGCCAACATTTGAGTGCTCACTTTGAGTCAGATACTTTAACATGAATTACTTAATCTTCATAACAACCCAGTGAGTTACATATATTATCATTCTCATTTTATCCATGATGAAGAAAGCACAGAGGAGTCATTTGTTCAGTCACAACTGTAAAGAGGTAGGATTGAGATTTGAATCTATGTAGTCTGACCCAGAGCTTGTGTTTTTAACCACTCTTAATTTTAAAATACTGTTAAGAATATAATATTTTATAATTAAACCTGGAATTTGGAACTTTTCTCACTTATTAGTCCAGTTTATTAAACTTTGTATTTAACTTAATTTTTAAAAACTTTAATGTTAAATTGAAATTTCAAATATAGGTATTCTGGTCTGAGAATGTTTAAACTGTTCTTGCGAGTCTTCAGTACTTTTTGTCCTTGGGATCTCTGATGGTATTTATACAATGCTGAATTGTCAATGCTTTCTTCCTTATATATGATTTAGGGATCTGCCACTTTGTTTAGTTATTTCTAAAAGATATCTTGATATAGTTTATTAAAGCTTATTTTTAGTGTTACTTTACAGTCCTGAAAAGATACATATGATTATCTTTTAACCTTTATTAAGTTTTCATCTGTTTTTTTCCTCTGATTTAAAAAAGAAAATAGTATCCAGTGCTCTTTTAGACTACAATCTTCTAAGTCCTTAATAGATATTTTTCTTAAAGTTTCTTCACCTTATAAATGTAAAATGACACCCATGACTTTGGCATTGCTATTCAATTATAAAATCTGCTGACAATGTCAGCTCTGAAATGAGTTTCCTATTTAGCATTTTTATTTTTATGTGCCAGGCTGAAGACTTGAAGACACTAATCAGACACATGGAGCACTGGGCACATAGGCTATTCCCTAAACTGCAGTTTGAGGATTTTATTGACAGAGTTGAATATCTGGGAAATAAAAAAGAAGTTCAGGTATGTGTTGAGATTATTATGAATATCATTCACAATGTTGAATAGTACAAGGATAGATTTAGTTAAGGCTAATAAGTATCTGTTTGGAATCTACATTTTGAAATCTCTCTTGGTAGAGAGAAGGAAAATTAATAGTAGTTATTTGAAGAACAACATTTTTGAAACTCAGAATGGAATAAATGACCTTGTCCTCCCAAATGTTATTAGTAAAAATGTAAAAATATCTCTCTATTTTCAGACCTGTTTAAAACGAATTCGGCTTGATCTTCCTATTTTACATGAAGATTTTATTAGCAATAATGGTAAGAATATAGGTTTGTCTATTTTATAACAATTTTTTTAAAAGATTTTATTTATTTTTAGAGAGAGGGGAAGGGCAGGAATAAGAGGAAGAGAAACATCAATGTGCGGTTGCCTCATGTGCGCCCCCAGCCGGGGACCTGGCCCACAAACCAGGCATGTGCCCTGACTTGTAATCAAACTGATGACCCTTTGGTTCTTAGGCCGGTGCTCACTCCACTGAGCCACACCAGCCAGGGCTCTACTTTATAACAATTTTTATTTTAGTTGGGATGGACAGTATTATAAGACTGGGTTCTTAGTCTATACTGAATATATTATTAAAGTACAGTAAATAGGAATGACTTAAAATACTTTGGTACATGTAGAATGTAGTGTATGATATTTGTTTCTTTAAAGACATGGCTGCAATGCTATTAAGAGATGTAAAAATGTATTTAGCAATAGAACACAAGTTTTTAAGAACTCTGATGGTGACCTGCGAATCCCTTGTAGTGCTTGTTAGTAAAAAAATATATGACAAAATACAATGTTCATTTACATGTATGTCATTAAAAAAAGTGGCTCTGGGAAATTGGGCAGAATAATTTGATGGTGAAATAGTTTACATTTCACGTAAGAGTGCAGATCCTGGGTATAGGACTTTAGCAAGACCTATGTGACTGTTCCTGGTATTGATTGCATTGGTTAGCTGTACAGTGCAACCATAGGCAGTCACACACAACAAAACATATGGTTCCTGCCGACAGGGTCTGTATAGTTATCAGATTTTCTGTGCGATGGTTCCATACATGTTTATTTTTGTTTTTTTTAAACCCTTAATAAATGTAGAAAACACAGGCTCCGTATAGAATTCTCTAAAGTTATTTATAAATTGCTCTTAAAAGTGTGAAAAAGATTGTGATTTAAATAATCCATGACTTAATTTTTTTTGTAATATATGGTAATACACTGATGGCATGGGATTTGGTATATGGAAAGGGATTAGTCATTATAGTACTAAATCCTATAGCATATGCCAGTGGGCTAGTTAGTCTCTTCAGCTGCACTTCTTGACCTGTGTACTGTATGCTAAACATCCAGGGATAAAGATAAGATGAGACCCATTGTTTTAAGGGCTAACAGACTAGTGAACAAGTCAGATATAACATTGCCAGTAGTTTGATAGGTGCTGTAACTACAGATATAAACAGGGCACAGGGTAGATTGGAAAGGAGAGCAGTTACTTTAGGGGAAGGGAAAGCTTCACAGAGAAGGCATCACAAAAATTTTGAAAGATGAGCAGTAACTATCAGGCAGAGGTGACTTTGTGTAGAGGAGTAAATGAACATAGGACCATTCTTGGGATTACAGGCATGCTGAAAAATAGGGTACATAGAGGAGGCCTGTAATAGAGAGCCTCATTTGTTGAATCTGGGTTGTTTTGTTTGTGTTTTGTATCTTAAAAAAGTAGTCTCCAAACCTTTTGGATCAGGCACCACAACAAAAAAGCATTTTAAACATTTTACTTAATTTTATAATACATTTACTTATGTACTAATCATAATGTACATTTTTGGTGTCACCAAAGCACTGCCATACAGTTTTAAAGTGAGAACAATATGATTAAATATTCTACCAAACTTATTTTTATTATTATTTTTTAATCCTCACTTGAGGATATATTTTCTTATTGATTTGAGAGAGAGAAACATCAGTGTGAGAGAAACATTGATTGGGTGCCTGCCATACACACCCTGACTGGGGATGTAACCCACAGCCTAGGTATGTGCCCTGACTGGGAATCGAACCCGCAACATTTTGATGTACAAGACAATGCTCCAATCTACAGGGCACTATCGAATTGTTTTTTTACTCTTGGGCTAGTACTTTTTTTATTGATTTTAGAGAAAAAGGAAGGGGAGGGGGAGAGAGAGAAACATCCGTTTGTTCCACTTATTTATGCATTCACTGGTTGCTCATTGTATGTACAATGACCAGGAATTGAACCTGCAACCTGGGCAGAGTGGGACACGCTCTAACCAACTGAACTACCTGGCTAGAACATGGGCAAGGGCTAGTACTTCTTTTTTTAAGGATTTTATTTATTTATTTTTAGAGAAAGGGATGGAGAAAGGGGGAGAAACATCAATGTGTGGTTGCCTCTCATGCGCCCCTAGCTGGGGACCTGGCCTGCAACCCAGACATGTGCCCTGACTGGGAATCAAACCGGTGACCCTTTGGTTCCCAGGTTGGCACTCAACCCACTGAGCTACACCAGCAAGGGCTGAGCTAGTACTTTTTGATCAATGATTTGATGGTATGGTTATCGATTGTTTTTCCCCGTCATATCTTGGTTTTTACTTTGCTAAGATACATAAATCCAAATGAAAGTAGATCATCATTAATTATCCTTATAAATCTTGGTATTCATTTTTTAATCTCATTAATTAATGCACGGGATTTTTGTTGAAGTTTACTAACAAATTTTCATTTACCCTTTTTCAGCTGGTTTTCTTAAAAATTAAGCAAGGGTTATGTTTTTATATTTTTAACTAATGTGAAGTCATGTCACTCCTCTGCTCAAAGCCCTCTTATTTCACTCAGTGTCCTTATAATGTCCAGCTTTGCCCTGCAGAGTCTGTTCTGTGGCCTTACTCCATCCCCTTGCCTCTCTGACTATATCCCCACTCATACTGCTTCAGGCACACTAGTCTCCTAGCTGTTCCTTGAATTTTCCAGGCACATTTCTGTCTTAAGGCTTGTGCACTCTCACTCTGCCTTAATACTATCCTCTGTATTCCCTCCAGCCTCCAACTCTGCATGGCTAACTCGCTTACTATCTTCATACTGTGGTCAGATGTCAACTCTGTGAAGTCTTCCTGACCACCCTGGTAAAACTATGCCCCATCCCCATTCCTGATTCCCCTATACTCTTTTTTAATAGCACTTACTTCCCTTTAATTATTATGTCATTTGCTTTTCTGTTAGTTTATGTGTACCAAAATAATAGCATTCTGTGGCATATTGAATATTTCTAGCTTTAGCTTCTTTGCCACGGTAGCCTGCATATGACTTGAAGTGAATAAATTTCATGTATGGTTCTAATTTGTTTTTAATCCATTTTTATCCTAGTCAAAGCTCCATCAGTGGTTACATTCACATTGTTTATTCATAAAACATTGTGTTAAAGAAGCCATTTCCTGTTGATGATATCTTTCCTTTCATGGCTCACAAAGAAGTAATTCTTTATTACACATTTCATTATTATTAATTCAGAAACTTTTAAGTCCTATAAGGCGAAGCATAATAAAAACTTATATGTTGGCCAGTTGGTCTAATACTTGTTTCTTAACTTCCCCAGCAATGTTTTCTACTTGTATGCCATCAATATTTTCTGACAAAGGAATGCATTTTAGTTTCTTGTCACAAGTTTTTTCCATGTCAGGAAGGAAAAATATGTGGCCTTTTGTTTTTCACTAATAAGGAAGAAACCTCGAAAAGAGCCTGGATTGCAAAAGACTGGATTAAGTATTTGATTTTTAAACCTCACTAGAATAATTGTAAAGGTTTGCCTTCATGTTTTAATTATTTTGCTAGTTGTGATGGTTTCACTAGCTAATACCTCAAGGCACGGTAAATACATAAGACATGGATGGTATCAATATACATAAATTTATTTATAATTTTCAATTTTTTCTAAATTCATACTTCCAATGGTGGTCTTGGTGATACGAATTTTATTTTATTTTTTATTTTTTTGCCTACATGTCAGATCTGTGATGAGGTCATTTTTTAACCCCATAATATGAATAATGTGAATGAAGTAGAAGGTGAAGTGTCAGCTTTGCAGGTGTTTTTTTTTTTTTAAGGTTGCTTGTGCTTGTATTATCTTCTACATTCAGGTGTTTATTTTGCAAAAATCTTTTTAAGCAGTAAAGCTATCACTTGTGCATTTTGTTGGGGTTGTTTTGTTTAAAACTAAATAGTCTGTTAGTCTACTTAACTGGGCAGTCAGAATCAGCTGTATGTCACAATAGTACTGAAATTAAAGAATGAGTAAGAGCCCAACTCTCCCACCTCTTCCTCAGTGTGGAGCTGCCTTTATTAACATAGCTTACAGACCACATGATAGCTGTCATATGGATGAATGATAGTTTATCACTGTGAGTCCTTATTTTAAATATGTTAGTAAAACTCAATTTTTCTTAATTCTTAAATTATAAATGGAAAATCAGATTTTATCTTCCATAACACTGGATCATTTTAGGGGTATGCTACTTTGAGATAACTAGTGTACATGGTTGTAAGAGTTTATTAAGAGTAATAATGTAGAGAGCACTGGACATTTTGAAAAATTAACTTGGAAATATGTACACAGATCTCTAAATTTCTTTTCCTTTTTCAGTTTGTATCTGGGTTTTACCCTGTTAAAAAATAGCCTATATAAAATTATCATGTATTATGGCAAGCTATTAAAATGTTTTTAATTTAAAATAAAGAATATTCTTTGGATTCTTTAAGCTCTTTATTACCCCAAGCATATTTCTAATCATAACTAAGAACTTTTGCTTTCTGTTTGTGCATATTTTTAATTTAATGTCTTGATTTGATTTAAAATACCTCTTTAAAGTGATTTATACTTTTACTTATTTGAATCAAGCATGTTTCTATCTAGCTTAATACTAGCAATATAATCTTTCTTTCTACTGCAGATGAAGTAGGGGAAAATAATGGCCATGATATAACTGCTACTGAATTAGATCCCTTTTTGACAAACTCACCTGAAAATGTGAAGTTTGCTTCTGAGCAAAGTAGAAGCCTGACTGAAGAGCAACAACAAAGAATGGAGAGAAATAAACAATTGGCATTGGAAAGAAGGCAGGCGAAGCTACTGAGTAATAGTCAGTCCCTAGAAAATGGTAAATTTTATGCTGTTTTTTTATGTGTTACCATTAATATAGCAAGGATATGTTAGAAGTTTTAACTTCTCTACTATGTCCCAAGATAAAACACCTCAGGAATAGAAAAATGATATAGGATATTAAGTTTATGTACATTTGAGAGAGAGAAAGAGACTATATGTGTTAGCTATTTGGAATCCTCAAAGAATAAATGAGTCCAAGATGGTTTTCTGAATAGTTGAGTACCTCTTAAAAAGTTATTTTAATCATTTGTAATTGATTCTGAATCTTTGAAAAACATTTTTCCCTGACTCCTTAAAACATGTGACAAATAATTTTATCTTTAGGATCATAATTATGAACATTAATTTTTATGGTACTTTACTAAACATAAAGTCTCTTTTGCACCCATTGAGAATTTAAGAGCCATTTGCTATGACGTGAATAGGTGGTTGTAAAATTTTCTTTTTTAATTGCATTGTGTCACTTTTGTTGTGAGCTATCAGTTTGATTACCTGTTACATGACCTTCTGTCTAGTAAAACTGCCTTAAAATTTGCTGTTTTTAAAACAGACTGGATTTGGAAACAAGAAGGCCAAGTTTTTAAAAACTATATTTAAAAATAATTATAGTCCTAGCCAGGTAGCTCAGTTGGTTAGAACATTGTCTCAAGATGCCAGGGATACAGGTTTGATCCCTGGTAAAGGCACATAAAAGAATTAACCAATGAATGCATGGATAAGAACAAGAAATTGAAGTTTCTCTCTAAAATCAATCAATAAAAAGTAAAAATATATAAAAATAATTGCAAATTGGTTTGAATGAAGCCGGATGGCATGTCATTCTCAATTTCTAATCCAGTTTTTCCTTTTGAAATAGGAAAATAAAAATTAAAGTAATGAAGATTACCAGGTTATAAAACAAGTTTTACTGAAGATAAAATTCTCAAGTGAAAATTACTGTGACTATATTATCATGATTTTTTCCAATTAAGATGAATTTAGTTTTTAAATTTACAAATGGATTTTTTATTACTTTCATGTGAAAAATTACATGGAAGTAATAAATATCAACTTTGTTGATAGCAGTGTTTTGTCTTCCTTGCTGTCATTACCAAAGTGTATCTGGCAATAAACATTTTAAGGCTCATTTTCTATTTATAATATATGACCTTAAAGTTGCCCAAATAGAAATAAGCACCTTAAATTTTCTTTACTGTAGATCACTTTGACATACAGCTATTAAGAGCATCTGATCTTTTAAAACTTCTGTCTAGTAGTTGTGATTTTGAATGAGAAAAGTTGTATTTGGCAATGATTTAAGAGTTTAAGTTTAGTACCTTTCAAGACCTCCAATTAAAAAAAACATATTGATTGATTTTAGATAGAAGAAGAAAGGGAGAGAGAGAAAAAATATTGATTTGTTGTTCCACTTACTGATGCATTCATTGGTTGCTCCTTATATGTGCCCTCAATGGGGATTGAACCCATAACCTTGGCATATCAGGACATTGCTCTAACTAACTGAACTACCCAGCTAGGGCCAAGACCGCTTGCATTTTTTAATGGACTTTATACTTGTAAAGAATTGATTTATTTTGGAGACATTGATCATAATTTACAAGAACTAAAATGATCATAGATATTGTTGCTATTGATCTAAGCTTGTGAAGAGATTTGTGTTAGGTATGATTGGATTAGGTGCTTAAGTAATGTGTAATAATGATTTCTCTTTCAGACTTGTTAATAAACACATCCAGGAAACAGACAGTTGAAGATGTTAATACAGTTGAGGATCAAAATGAATCAGATGGATTTAACAAAGACATTCTAGAAAACACACATAACGATGTTGCTGCCAATATAGTAAATGAAGAGGAGGAATTAAAAATAGAGAAAACTCAACTGGACCAATCCTTTTAAAATTAAAAGGTACAGCCCTGGCTAGTATGGCTCAGTGGATTGAGTGCTGGCCTGGGAACCAAAGGGTCACCATTTCAATTCCCAGTCAGGGCACATGCCTGGGTTGTGGGCCAGGTCCCAGGTACAGGTGTGTGAGAGGCAACTGCACATTAATGTTTCTCTCCCTATCTTTCTCCCTCCCTCCCCCTCTCTTAAAAATAAATAAATAAAATCTTTAAAAAAAAAAAAGGGCACCGTGCATAGGAGACCATGTCCAGGGACAGCAGTTACAGCCAGACCCCAAGCTGGGCTATCCTCACCACTCACCAGGTGGTCCTCAGTGATGGTGTGCAGTGACCCCCCCCGCCCCGGGAGGGGACTACAGCACCACCCCTGGTGGCACGCTGTTCACGACCCCAGGAGGTACCAGGATCATATATGACCGGAAGTTTCTGATGGAGTGTCAGAATTGACCCTTGACCAAAACACCCCATGGGACCTGCCCACCATTCTGGGGGTCACTAGCCCTATAAGCAATGAGCCCCCCACAGAAGCCAGCCAGAATTACCTGCAAAAGAAAAGCCAGCAGGTGGTGAAGAGTCACAGTTTGAGATGGACATTCAAGAGACCAGCCATCAGATCAAGCAATGCCGTGGTCCCTCTGGGCCTTCTCAGGGGAAGAGTCAACAGCCATTTATCATCTTGGGCAGGCATTAGGTATGGGGTCAACCATCCCAGTCTTCTGCTCCCTAGGTCAGGGCATCTGCTCCTCCTTGGTGAACACCACATAGCTCTATGTGCCTCTGTTCATGGAGGAGCTGGCACCCCAAGAGGGGGTGACTCGAGCACATACCCTGCAGCCTGGGGCCATGAAGTGGACATGGAAGAGCCCTTCTGAAGTATGGCTGTTTCTCTGAAGGCACACCCACCCCTTCCTTAGGTTGGTGTGCCTGGGAAAGTTCCCAACCTGCTTACCCCAGAGAGGAAATAAAAGCCACCTTTGCCCCAGGGCCAAGGGGAAAAAATAATGTACAGCAGTCATTTTATGCTTCATCCAGGAATGTTACTAAGGTTGGATAGGCCTCAACCAAGAGGAAATTAACTTGGTATCCTCCAAGTTTGAGATTACTATGTATTTTGTCTGAGTGAAATCCTTATGTAGTAAAAGCTTTATGGATTCCTGTTTAAAATCTGGTATTTATAATTACACTTTTTTCTTAGCTCTAGTTAAGCCTATTCTCTAGTGTTTTAATGTAGGTACTTCATAATAATTAATAGTTAATAAGCAGCTTCTGGTGTGCCTTGTTTTCACTAAATTGGGTGGTGTTTTAAGATATATAACATTAATGTCCATTTAAAAATACAAATAAAAATCTTACAAACTATCTGGAGGCTTCATGAAAGTTTCTAATTGCTATTTAGTTCTGCAATTTACACTTGGTAATACGGCCCTAGCTGGTGTGGCTCAGTGAATTGAGTGCTGGCCTACAAACCAAAGGGTCGCCTGTTCAATTCCTGGTTAGGGTACATGCCTGGGTTGTGGGTCAGGTCCTCAGTAGGGGGTATGCAAGAGGCAACCATACATTGATGTTTCTCTCTCTCTTTCTCCCCCTCTAAAAATAAAGTCTTTAAAAGAATATTTTTTAAAAAATGTTCAAGGTTTGTATTTGTTTACATGTATTTTGAAGAGTGACTTTAATACTTAAATGGTCACATGAAAGGTTGATAAATTGCCTGGCCTGTGCTAGGGAGGTTCCAACACTCCTTGGCACCTATTGATCAGGTGGAGAGAAACTTGCAAAGTATTACGAGGAACATAGAACACCTAGGATGTATTCACAGGAGACCTTTGAGTTAGTGGAGATTCCAGGGATGGGGAGTGCATGTACAATAGTGAAACAAATGAAAATCTAGGAAATAAGGAAGATTTGGGTATATGAATATGAGGCTAGAAGTGTTAGGCCCAGATGGTGAGATGACCCAATTAGAATTTTTCGTGCCTGAGTTTATCAACTTGGTAGAGGGGTAATAAGATAAGGAAGTACTGCATTGACAACTAAATTTAAAGGTCTGTCTAGTTCTTGGCTGGAGATTCCCAAGGGAGAGAGGGGAAGGCAAAATTAGTTTTTACAAACTAGTAGATGGGAAAGTTGCTTTTTATGAGAAAGACTGGCAGTGATGCTGCTGAAACTGCCTTCTATCCATAAGCTGGAGATCCTCTTCAGGTTTGCTGACTTCAGGCGAGGATGGAGAGTGACAAGAATGGTTTTGGTTGAAAGGCCAGGAAGTTTTTTGAGTTCAAGAACATACGAGGTATGGGAGGCCGGGGTGGCTGTGGGCGTGCTGGGGACTGGCATAGTAAGGAGCCAAGAGCCAAAAGCCTTTGAGGATTGTGGCTTACTGCTGCCAATAGAGGGGATCAGCTAGAAGGTGAAGTGCAGTCTCTTCAGATGCAACTAATACTTGGAGAAACTTGCTCAAGAGGGCTCTCTGCCCTCACCTGCTGGACTAGAGGAGATGACAGAGAAAGAAGAGTTGTTTTTCCAGTGGTGGCATTTGCTGGCAAGGTGACACATCTCCAACAAGGGCAAGACCAATGCAACTCATTGCCTGAGGAGTACTCAGAAAAATGAGGGTGGAAAGGGAGGTTTAAGAACAGACATAACCTGCGTACCATGCCCTTCTCCTATGCCCTATCACCATCTGGTGCTGGGGACAACAGGGAAGGTTAGAGGCAAATATGAAATAGTTTTAAAGGGATAGGTGGATGCAACTAAGTCTTAGTACCTGAAAGTGACTGAAAAGTTAACCTGACAGATGTCAGAGGAACCTATGACCCAATGTAGCAGTTACTGGAAAAAACTGATTTGACGCAAGCTAAACAATGATCAATTCTGAGTTTATTACAAAGCTACTGGCAACCTGATTTGAAGAGCCACCATGCAGTATTCATTTCTGAAAAATAAGTTGCCATAGTGACCTAATTGTATTTTATTTAATGCAACTTTAATGATGAAAAAAATCTTATACATATATTAGTCCCCCTTATCTGTAGGGGATACATTTCCAAGACCCCCAGTGGATGTCTAAAACTGGATAGTACTAAACGCTATACATACTGTGTTTTCTCCTAGATATACATTCCTATAATAAAGTTTAACTTATAAGTTAGGAACAGTTAGAAATTAATAGTCATAATAAAGTTGAACAATTATAAAATGCTAGAATAAAAGTTATGTGAATGTGGTATCTTAGCAAACTGGCACGAATTTCTTTTTCCTTCACAATTTCACAGGAGAGTCATTCTGAACTGTAGATAAATTTTAGCAACCTCAACATATGATATTTTCTTTCCTTAATGAGAACTGTCACCTTTTCACCTAAGGAAGCACTTGATTGCTTTTCTGTGGCACATTTTAATCGGCAGCATCACTACTCTTGTGCTTTCAGGCCATTATGAAGTCAACAGTCAGTCTGATAACCAAGACGGCTAAGTGCCTAACAGGCTGGTAGCATATACCCACTGGTACGCTGTGGGTACACTGACTAATTCATGGCCTGTGTGGGATGGAGTGGGACATCAAGTGATTACATCAGGCTACGCAGAATGGCATGCAATTTACAGCTTATGAATTGTTTATTTCTGGAATTTTCTATTTAAAGTTTTTAGACTGTGGTTGACTGTGGGTAACTGAAACCATGGAAAGCGAAACTGCAGATAAGCAGGGGGGACTATGGTCTGTGAAATATCTACCTAATTTCAATCAACCAGAACATTGGGTGACACAAAAAATTAGATTAACGTTAATGTTGAAAATAAGGTAAAGCATTCACATAAGATAAAGTTCTTTTATTGAAGTGAGAAGAGTATTTCATATTCCATGACTGTTTGAAACATCCAGGAGAGCTAGGTCCCGTATCTCCTCTAGAAGTCTGTACAGGCTTCTTCCCTTAGTCTGGCAATATTCTTGACAATCTTCCTGAATGACGTTTACTTTGACTTCTTGGGCTAGCTGAGCTTCCTCCACAGATCTAGTTACTTCTTTCACTAAATCACTCTTTAGCAAGAGTGAACTCTGATGAAAGAGTTCTGTATCTGGTATCATGTATGGTTTGTTGCTCATTATTTCAAGCCTGATTGTATCAGAATGGCAACGTGAGGTCTGTACAGATATTCTCACCTATCATACAGGATAAAGTGCGTATTATTAAATCACATTCTTTGTTATTTACACTGAAATCGGTATTTAATGTAAATACAGACTTACCGTTACATGGTCAAACAAACGAAATGTAACAGATTCCCCTCCTGTTGTGGTTGAGGTGATTTTGTTCTGAAATCGTTGAAGGGATCCTGGTTTCCATTCAGAACGGCTATCTGGACCACATGAGATAACTAAACCGTCTTTATTTTTCAGATATGCAGCACCTTTAATCCCAAACCTGAATCATTGCCAGAATAAAAATCCAGAGATAATTCTTACTATGCACATCTTGTATACTTATCTAGAATGCTAGTTTTTCTTCTAGATTAAAAACAACTTTTCTTGTGATTGACCTCCAAATATTTATTTCATTAATCAGATAGAAACAAAATGTCTTGCTAAGTAAAATTTTATTCTAAGAGTGATACAGATATACTAGATTCTAATCTTTTATACATACATAGTAAATTATATATACATTACATTATGTACATATAACTATAAATAATTGCTAAAATAAATATTTTAATAAATTATACCCAAAGTACTGTTTGTGTTTTATACTTTCAGTTGAACTATGATTTGTTAACAATTTTTATATTAGATATAACATACCTTGGTATAAATACGAGCACACCATTTGTTCTAATTGAATAAATAACCCCATCAGATATGCAGTGCTCCTCTGTTTCTTGGCCTTTGTCTTTAAAATACATGCACTGGAAGAGCTCAGTAGACTGCTTCTGAGAACACTGAGCTGCCTGCAAGAAGCAACACCCCAAATCATGATGACAGACTCCCCTGACATTCCCAGAAGAAACATGAAATTCATAGTCCTACAAAAACAACGTCTTTAAAAAGGCTAGACTTTATAAAACTATTAATAAATATTCTCTTATGGATTAAATCAATTTTTGTGGGAACAAAACCATCAGTATCGTTCTCTCAAAAATGTCTTAGACAATTAAATATTTAAGAAAGCAGCCTGTTGTTATTTAGAAACTATGTATAGTTCATTCAGGTAGAGGAAAAGTATCCTACCAAAATCCTGTTGATGGAAGTAGAAATTAGTATTACTACTCTGGAGGGCAATTTAGTAATATGTATCACAGTTCCATTTGTGCTCACCTTTTGACTCAGCAATTCAGTGTTACTAGGAATTTATCCAGGCAATAATCTGAGCTGTCTGTAAAAGTCTATACACAAGGATTGTTGTAAACTATATTACCTAAAGCACCGCTGCCCAAGAGAACTTTCTGCAATGATGAAATGTGTTGCTCTAAAGGTTACCACTAGCTACATGTTTATTGAGCATATATGAAAGGTGGCTAGTGTGACTGATGAATTGAATTTTTGAGTTTTTAAAAATTTTAATTTAAATCGCAAACATGACTGTAGCTATAATATTACGAAGCACAGAACTACAGAACATTGGATATAGAAAATTGTATTAAACATTTAGGTAGTTTCTAATTTTACATATCACCAAATGATCTAGTTCTATGCTGTGCAATATTGAAGCCACTAGC